TAATGTATAAGATAAACAGTAATTTTATAAAAAGAAGAAATAATAAGTACCTTGCACTGGGGTGAGGTGAAATGGGTGCTTGCAATGGTTGCGGAGAACCGACCACACTTTCCATACAGAAAAGCCGAGTTCAGTCGCTACTTTTCTAATGCTTATAGTGGGATCATCGTCAAAAGCCGCCAAGATACGCTCATCCACAGCAACATCAAGTGGTCTTCCACGTACTCCTGGTTCCCTGTGTTGCAATTTGCCAGTTTCACGTAGCCTTCTATAAGTATTTGCAAACGTATCATGGCTAGGCAACCTTCTCGTGGGATACAGCTCTCCATAAAGTCTACGTGCTCTGTGGCCGTTATTTAGGGCCCGGCCATAAACCAAAAGCATATCAGCGTATTCCTGGTTAGTAAAATAAGTGCGTTGAGCCATAATCACTGCAGTGTTTTGAATTAAGTTTGAACACTACCGTCCGAAAACAGAAACAAATAACAAACAAAAACTTAACAATCAACGAAACAAAAACTAAACTCAACGAAACTGTTCAACAATGAATGTCGAAAAAGAACTCGCAAGTAGCTTCAGAGACAGTCAAATCACGACTAAATTAAATAACAACAGAAGCAGGTAGCTGATCCGCGCGTCGTAACTTCGCCTGTACCACCAGAAAGAGACAACATCTACCTGGCTCGCACACGCATAAATGAAACCATAAAAATATTTACACGGGTAAAAACCAGTTTAGGGTGCCCTGGCAATTTTTACGGAACTTGTAATATTTTAATTCCCCCCGTCCTCACATTTGATTATCAATAATTTTGTTGATAATTTAAAGTTTTATGTAACATGTGATATACCGATAGAAAGAGGATGAAATAGAATTTTTTTTATGGCCATTTGAAATTACTCAACATATTTATTTATTTTTTTTAAGGGGCTGGAAACTTAAGGGCTTACAATTTTTTTTCTCGTTTGTTCACTTTCAATGTGTCGTAAGTATTTTTTCTTATGCCTTTTAGGCTTTCAGTCTTTCTTTTAATTTAAAAAAAAAATATATTTCTTAGGGAAAATAAAAAAACATGGTAGAAAACTAGAAATAGTAGAAGTTATTGAACCAAAATACTAGAAAATTGGGATAATTACAAAAAAAATTTAAAAATTCAATTAAAAAAAAATGGTAAGAGATAGAAAAAAAAATTACTAAGAAAATATGCTTCTAATGAACCCATCTATCTCCCATTTCAGTTTGTCGGACCACCCACCAAACACCCTGTATACAGTTGCTAGGTCTTACGGTAGTAAGCGCGACTGCTGCCTATGTGGTTACGGGTTTGAACCTTTGATTGTGTCCAGATCAGTTATTGGATTTGCTGTTAAGAAATTTTTCAAAGCAGCCTGGAGTCAGGAAATGAGAGGGTATTTGACCCCTATGCCTTGAAAAGCACGTAAAGTCGCAAAATAAACCGGAAAATGTGTCGGATTGCTGTCCCAGCGACCTATAAGTGTGAGGGAATACTGAGCGCACTTGTACTTGTGCATACACTCGTATACTTTAATGCTGCCCTACACTGATGACTTTAGTCTCTGTTGAGACTGACCGCCGTAATCAAAATTCTGTCTAGAGGATACTACCGCAAATAAAGATCAAAAAAGTATTCGCGTAAAATATATTAACATCAAAGTTGAAATCACCACACATAACCATTAATTCTTAACCATTAATTAGATAACCATTAATTCTCCTTAAAACCTTTGACTTTTATATGAGTACAAAAAACCAAATTTAAGAGCGGCTATCAAAAGGACGATAAAAATTATTTCTTTTCTTCAGTCAGAATATTACAATAATGCAAATTTGATTTATTTTTTATTAATAATGTAGTTATTCACGCAGCATGGCACACCACTAGATATATTAAATGGGAGGTATCAGGTATCTCAAATAAACAAAACAGGCCCGTGACAGCTTAGTTCCATTCTACGCAACTTGGCGCTACCGTCGCAATTTGTTCTCTGTCTACGGACGCCATTTTGAGACGCCATATTGTGTTAATGTCAAATCATATTGTCAAAAATCTAAATTATCGATATTGATTGCCGCCATTATTTATCCAAATTTTCCTCAATTATTACAATATTCTGTTTTTGTGTTGCTCGTGTGAACATTGCATATACCATCATAATGGTATGCGAAAACTGTTGTATTGGCAAAGAGATAAGTATATACAGGAAGGTATACAGGTATATGTGTATTGGTGGTTGCAATAAAACACGTGAAACGCACGCACCGGCTTTTCAGGAACTCTAGGAACGATAATTTAAGAAACTTGTGGATGTCTTTCATAGTGCCGACAAATCCCCAGCTCATTGTACTTTCCAAAGAACAGTTAATTAACAAACGTGTCTGTGAAAAACATTTTGATATATTTCAGTTCGACAATGAAGGCAGACTTTGATACTCTTACTCGTCCTTGCTTACTGACAATGAAATAGCTCATGGTGTGCCTCTGACTGCAACAGGTGAGTCATTTTATTACTTTCAACCATGGTACTTAAAGGAGAAGGACACGTCTCTATACATTCTTGGGCCCAAGTATTAAGATAAAAGTACGACCATTTGTAAGCATATACTATATAGACAATTCATAGCTGAAAATCTCGCAAGATTTGTCAATGTAGGAACTGAGTTATTGTAGAATAAGTAAAAGTGAGATTATCTATTGGCGGCACTGTAACAGGTGATTTTGCACTATTTTTACACAGTTACAGGCTATTTTTCACTATAATTACTTAAATATATAAATGCAGGATCAGTAAAAAATCACCAAAAAAGCTGTGGTTGATAATGAAACGATATGGTGAAACGATTAATGAAAGTTAATACAACAACAACTAAGTGAAGTGAATATTAGGAATTCTGATCTTATAGATGTGCCAACTTGGAAAAATTACGAATTGATTTAACTCGAGTCGAAATTCATGCAACTCGAGTTAGCAGTACGAATCAGAGTAAATGATTTGTTAGAAATTACTTTTTTATAAATTTGTTTTTCTATCTAGCTCTTTGGTGGGTTGAGATAATTATAATTACCTTTTTATACCTATTAAAACTTATGTAGGATTGATATAAAAAGATATATTTAGTATATTTTTGGTTTAATCTTAGTTATAGTAAGTACTTGTATTTAACAACAAAACTAGCTATATAGCAGTCTTCATGAAATAATATTAGTCTAGCTTCAAGATGTAGGTACATAAGCTATTAATAGTTTAATTACAAAAGGTTGAAGTCAAAATATTCTTAAATAAGTTCAATATATTTATTGTGAGTTAAGTGTTACATTTGGCATTAATTTAAAGTATGATTACACTATATTGATCATAATTAATCAAAATTATAAAGGGGAATTAAATTACACAACTAGCTATAATAAAATTCTCAATAACAAATTGTTTATACCAGTAATATACCTGCAGCATGGCTCTACCACATACAATTGCCATATAACTTTGTTATATGATAATATAGATCACTTTTAATTACGATTATACTAAACTGTTATTAAAAGTAGCCATACAGCATTAATACATACAATACAGAAGTATAACATTATATATTTATTCTTTAATTTTGGGTTTATGTATAAGAACATTCAAGAAGTGAGCCGTGGTAGCTCAGTGGTTAACGCTCGCTGTAAATATAACAGAACGCGAGTAACCCGGGTTTGATCCCCCGCCGGCACCAATGAAATTGTTAATTGCAATTTTAAGTGCTGATTTACCACATGCTCGGCGGTGAAGAACATAAAATTCACAAATATTGTTTGTTTTCAGGAATAGAAATCTAATGCTGATGTGGTGTGACAAATGTTGCCAGAAGATAACAAAATGTACACATTGGCATAAAGGTATGATAAATTCAGTTTATTCTTAGATATAATTAGGTAAGATAAGATAACATATCCATTATATCTATATTCAGCATATCTATCCTCAAATCATGATAAGAGTTCTTTGTTCTTCATCTAATCTAAAGATTACAGTTCCACTACACTTCAATGGTTTTATCAACAACTCCTTTAGTATTAAGGTTACACTTATTTGGAACTCCGTGCCTGAAGACATGGAGAAAGCTCCTGATAATAGATGTATACCATGTTAATATTTATATGTTTTTTATTTCTTATTTACTGCATCTACCACTTTATTTTCACCACACCATGGGTTGACTGATAAAAAATGCCAACTGCCATGGAGCCACCCTTTGTTATCTTAATGTAAATAATATATAGTTTATGATTATCATTAAGTCATAAAATATGTATATTGGACTTTATTTTTATTTATTTCTTTCAGGTTACGTGGCGTAGAAAATGAAATTAAAGAAGAGAAGATGTTTTTTTTTAATTTTTGTAAAGAATGGCCAGGTGGTACCCCAGATGAAAAATAAATAGCATTGCTTCTAATAAAAAATAACTTGAAAAGTAAAATATTAAGCACTTAAATTATTCCTGTGGTTTAATTTGCTTTATTTAATGAATTATAAATATTGCTCTGTTTCTCGTCAAATTGTACTTATTTATGTAAAATGTTATGCACAATTTTCTAATTTGTTTATATAACTTAATGTGCCTTTAATTTAATCCTAAGATTACGTTTGTATGTATATGATGTTGGTATGCTTGAATAAAAAATAAATAAGTTAGATGTATTATAATTGTTTCATTAAGTATTATTATTCCCGTATAATGCACTTATGTCGATATCGATAAAATAAGAACACCACTAAACATCGATATCGATAGTTTGAAGGATGTGTGCTTGCAATCCCTAAGCTATACTAAATTGTATAGTCATTACTCATCTGTCAAATTGGGCGACTGCAGCGCCAAAACGCGTAGTTGGGAAACTTGACTAAAAGTCACTGTCGTATCTGTAGCTTGCTACATATTTATTTATCTATGAAACAAAACAAATTAATCTATGGCATTTATACTTTTGTAGAAATGGAATCAATGGAGGAAGAACAATGTTTACATCAATGTGAAAGTTATATTCAAAGTCACAATGTTCAGTTATTGTTAAAAGATTGTATCGTACAACTGTGTTTAAATAAGCCTGAAAACCCTGTTACGTTTTTGCGACAGTATTTTCAAAAGTTGGAGAGAGTAAGTTCTCAGTACCTTTCAAGGGTTTACCTAGTTCGTTTTATAGTAATATGTCGTCGTTATCACATTATAATAATTTTACATTGAAGTTTGTGTAATATTCTATAATAATTCGTAAATGGATTAGAGACAACTAGGTTATGATTTTTTTTATTATGCTTAGGATTTTACTTAGTGCTCTGTACTACTAATTACCTATTTATTTTGATTAATAATTGACATAAAATGCTTTCTTTTTCTGTAATTTTCTCCATCATTATAATATATTACATTATATGTAATTATTAAGCTTGAGAGACGAGTAGAAATGATAAGCTGATAGGCTTTTTTGTTGTATTATTATCTGTTATAAGAAAATTAATATTTGTTTGTTCGTATTTTATGTGCTGCCATACCGTTCATTAGATTGTGATAAAACTTTGTTAACATATTGCTTGCACTTCTGTAATGGTTATAGGCATAGTTGGAGCTGGTAGGCAGTGCTGTTGTAGAATCCAGATATCACCCATGCGAAGGCGGGGGGGCAGATCTCTAGTATGTTATAAAAACATTATTATGCACACCATAACATACAAAATAAAAAAGAAAGATACAAACGAAAACATTGAATTTAAAAACAACTTAAGGTAGAATGCCTTTTAAACATTTAATTGTGTTTACCATGAGATATCAATCAGGAAATTACAACACTATGATGTAAGAAGTGATGCTCTTAAATTTGTTATTTCATATTTTAAGCAACAGAATCCAAAAAGTTGTTATTAATGGTATGAGTTATTTCAGGTCGATAGTACAAATAGGCGTGCCTAGTGAATGCAATCCGGATTCTTCGAAATTCGAAAATAACTGAAAAATCCGGATTTTCCAGTTTTATAAATCCGGTTTTTAAGACGCTAATCCGGACTTTTCGGATTTTAGTGAAATTGGAGTTCAATGGATAATATTTTGCATTTATCCACAAATTTTCATTCTAACTAATGAGTAGTTAGGTATTACCTACACTAAAGCTGAGAACAAATTACCAGCCGCGGCTGACAGACGCGGCTTAGCGGTGTGCACGGTAGCTGAGACGGCATCCTCGGACGCCTCTCTTCGGCCATTCCAGAAAGGTTTGTCAATCAAGAAAAATGACAAACAGTGACAGCGAGGTCGAATTTATAAAGTTAGCGGCAGCTGCTTTATGTCGTCCTCAGAAAAAAAGGGGACCCAAACACTCCTTGTCCATGATATTAATGTAAAACGACTCGAAGATGATAAACGTTACAAAATTTACTTAAGAATAAATACATTTATAGTGCTGCAGTTTGTGGTTATATAGGCATTCGTGGCCACGAACACATTCAATTAATTTTTCTTCATCACACATCATGTCGCGAGCGCATTTGGTTCGCTTGTTACACTCGAAACGTCCGCAGACGCGTCCCGCGCCCCGTTTACACTGTCCGCGGACGCACAAACATCCAGCCGGCTAGATTCTGTTCGGACGTCCGAACACTCAAGAGCAACGCAAGGTCATGTCCGCGTCTTAAGACCGATAGTTTGCACAGTGTAGTATTAAATGTACTGGCTAGATTTCAATAAGCCGCGGCTGACGGACGCGTCCGATAATTTGTTCTCAGCTTAATACGCAAATTCGAGCAATATTTGAATTGGATAGTTAGATATACAGCTCATAAATTTTTTATAAAATCATTAGGCAACTGGCAACGTCATTGAAACGGAGAATTAAAGACAGGTGACTATAATATTGTCGGTGCCTTGCAATACTTACCCAACCCTAATCAATTTTTAAATGAGACTAAGTAGGACGAAGATAAGTTTAAAAACCTACGTATGTTGAAATTAAAAATTTGATTTATCAAGCTGCAACCCTGGATGGTGACGATTGCACGACCACGTCGACTAATACGAACTCTATTTCAGAAACTCTGATCCATCGCCGCTAAGTTTTAAAGAAAAGCTCAATCGTCAACTTTCTCTTGCAATGTGGGTAGTTATCATCAACACCAGTCAACGAGTGTAATCAGCGCAACTGATTCACGTTGAAATGGCTTCATTTAAAAACGGTGGAGGTTGTGGAGAACTTCTAAGATCTAAGATCTCCTTTTCTAAAAAAAGGATGATGATGATCATCTGAGTTGAATCCGTCGATTGACCTCTTGGTCCAAGTTGGACTTACCTAGTCGGACTAGTCCACATACGCCAGACAAAGTGGCAGATTGTACTATTTGGTCTTCTGTACAATCTTCGGTGGGATATGTATGTGGTCTATGGTACTGAAGCCTTTTCAGAAACCGGCTTGCTCGGGAGGCTGGAAGTCGTCGAGTCTGCGTGCGAAACGATTCGTAATGACTTTTGAAAACGGCACGTAGACGCGGCTTAAAAGGGAAATTGATCTGTAGTTCTTCAAGAGAGCGTTGTCACCTTTCTTAAAGAACAAGACCACTGCACTTCTGCTCCACACCTCTGTAGTGCCACCATGGAGGACGGAATTAGAGCTTCTCAAAGACTTCAAGTACCGGTTTTCCACCTGCTTTCAGATGCTCCGCTGTGATTGCAATCTCGCCTGGGACCTTGCCGTTTTTAAGGTGCTGGAGAGCCATTCTAATCTCGCTCAGACTGACGTCCGTTATATCATCGGAATAGTGTCGGATAAGACTTGCTCTTGGATCGTTACTCACACTTCCATGTGGCTCCAACAATGATGAGTCCCATATAACCTCAATCTTACTCAAAATCTCAGGTGTCCCGGAAACGATGCCACCACACTCCGTCTTCAGCATTGAAAGTTGGCTCTTTCAGACAGACAGATCTCTGGCAAAGACTTTGGAGCCCTGGTTTCGCTCAATCGCTTCTTCAATACGAGCTGTATTGAAGTTGCATAAGTACTGCCGCATGTATTTGGAGATTTGTCTGTTCAGTTGCCTGTATACTGTCAATTCTGCTGATGATTTCAGCCTCATCTATCGTCTAACAGCCATGAGATTAAGAGTGTGATCGGAGAGTTTTTGTGTTCTTCTGTGGCGGGTCTTGCAGAACTTAGCTCCGACCGCATGGACAGTTTCCACGAGCTTGTCATTCATATTGTCCACTGCATTGCGATCTACCAGGCACTGACAACGGTTTTGTAACTCCAGCTGAAAGATTTCGGGATTTTTGGATTAGAGCACTAGGTGACAGAGCGTTGACTTCATTAGACGAGACCTCTCCAACTTAACATTTAGGTTCAGTGTGCCTCTAATTATTCGCTGATTGCTGCCAGTTTTCACCCTTGCGATCACCGAGACATCACTGAACAGTTGCCGTGTAGTCGTCATAATGAATTCAATCTTATTTTTTGTCGAACCGTCAGGGCTCGACCAGATCCACTTTCTGTGGGGCCACTTCTGAAAGAAAGAGTTCATCATAAAGTGTCGATGACGCGACATTTAATAAATTTTGGCGCAAGTTTTTTGCTAAAGAACTTATCCTTATCACTTAAAACATATACGCGTTTCATTACAGTGTCACCAATGTTAAATTCCATAGGCTTGCGCCGAAGGTTATAGTGGGTTGAGTTTTTAGCAGACAGTTGGCTCTTTCTGGCAGACAGATCTCTGGCAAAGACTTTGGAGCCCTGGTTCCGCTCGATCGCTTCTTTAATACGAGCAGTATTAAAGTTGCGTAAGTCTCGCCGTATGCATTTGGAGATCTGTCTGTTCAGTTGCCTGTATGCTGTCAAATCTGTTGACGATTGCAGCCTCATCTCCCGTCTAACAGCCATGAGATTAAGAGTGTGATCGGAGAGAGAAGAACACAAAAACTCTCCGATCACACTCTTAATCTCATGGCTGTTAGAAGGGAGATGAGGCTGCAATCGTCAACAGATTTGACAGCATACAGGCAACTGAACAGACAGATCTCCAAATTCATGCGGAAAGACTTACGCAACTTTAATACTACTCGTATTAAAGAAGCAATCGAGCGGAACCAGGGCTCCAAAGTCTTTGCCAGAGATCTTTCTGTCTTTTCTGTCCTTCTGTCCTTCTTTCTCCACGAATTCGGCCTGCTGCTGGCCCCTTGGGTTCCGTTGCCTTATCCCAAATTTCCCTACTCAGCTAGCTCACCGATTTTTCTTGTGCCTAGCTTTGCGTTGAAGTCTAACACCGTATAGTGGGTTTTGGAGAAATGCTTGGCTCTAGAAATATCCTCATAGATTTCCTCCATCTCCTCATCGGGATATACCGACGTTGGTGCGTAAACCCGTATGACCTTCAGCGAATACCGTTTGGTGATTCTGAGTATAAGTTACGCAACCCTCGTCGACACACTCCCAATCTTTATAAAGTTGCTAACCAGAGACTTGTGGATGATAAATCCAACACCTCCTTGGGACAGATGGTCATCCTCCCGGTGAAAGAACGAGTTGCCGGATTCGAGAATCACCGTGTCCTCCCCCTCTCTTCGGACCTCGGATAATCCTATAGTATTCCAACGCAACTTGTCTATCTCTTCTTCCAGCTCCAGGATCTTCTCGTCAGTCCTCAGGGTGCGTGCGTTGTAATTTGCCAGGTCGAGTCGTTTTAGGTGGCAACTGAACCTCCACCGGAGATTCTTAACACCCTAGCACATGCCCCGCCGTTACCATGGTCGTCACCGTAGCCTGGAATAGCGGGCCGCTGGGGACTGGGGGCCATCTATTTGCGTCGTTTCTAATGGGAGGTTTATTGCCATAGTTGCCACACTTGGCGAGCGGGTTGGCAACCGAAGTTTTTGTTGTACAGTTGCTGCTATCAGGAAGATGCTGCTGTCCATCTCCTGCCTGTTTCCTTCTGTCGCCTTTTACGACACCCACGGGAAGATATGGGGTAGTGGATATTCTTAACCGCCGCTACACGGTATACCATCACTACACGATTTTTGTTTATTTTGGTTGATTTTATTCCGTCGTGTCTGAATAAATACAGATTTTAAATGATTTATACCGTTTTATTTTAGTTTTATGAAATCACCTTAAAACT